TCACTTATTTCTCCACAAAGTAAAAGAAGAATAAATTGTGATTATTCTAATGTACCTTCTGAATTTCCTATCTAAAAAGCTTCCATTTTTATTTTGATCACCTAATATGTGATATTTATTTGTGGCATGCTACAAAATATTCTGATATTATTAAACTTAATTTCAGTTAGGAATATTATAAACTTGATTATATATGGTTTCTGGTAGGCTAATGAATTTACTAATTTATATGTGTTGTAAACAGCTACTAGGGTGGCCTCCAATGATAACTATTCTCTGATATTGATGCCCTTACGTAATCTCTTTCCCTGAACATGGATTAGACTTACTAATGTGTTTCTAATAAATACCAAATGCAACAGAAGTGGTAGGATTTCACTTCTAAAATTATACTTTTTAAATTTTATTTTTAATTTTTATAGATTTTAGGTGTATAAGTACAGTTTTGTTAAATGAATATATTGTATAGTGAAGTCTGAGCTTTTAGTTTAGCCATCACCTGAATAGTGTACATTGTACCCATTAAGTAATTTCTCATCCCTCACCCCCTCCCACTCTTCTACTCTTCTGAGTCTCCGATGTCTATTCCACTTTCTTATATCCATGAGTACACATTATTTACCTCCCACTTAATACAAGAGACTTTCTGTTTCTGAGTTATGTCACTTAAAGATAATGACCTCTAATTCCATCCTTGTTGCTACAAAAGACATGATTTCATTCTTTTTTATGGCTGAGTAGTATTCCATGGTGTGTGTGTATGTGTGTGTGTGTGTATACATAGTATGTGTATATATATTTTTTTATATACATACTTTCACACACAAAAAATACTTTCTTTATCCAGTCATCCATAGAGGGACACTTAAGTCAATTCCATTTCTTTGTTCTTGTGAATAGTGCTGCAATAAATATATAAATGTAGGTATCTCTTTGATATATTGATTTCTTTTCCTTTGGTTAGAAATTACATTTTAAAAAGATCTTTGTTTCTGTCTTTGGTGTTCTATCATGCATGATGGCACACTTTGGGGGAAGTAGCTACCATGATGTGAGGCAACCCTGTGGAGAGGTCTACAAGAGTGAACCTAGAAGCAGATTTTTGAGACCAGCCAAAAGCGACATGAATGAACTTGGAAAGTGTATTCTCAACCAGACAAGACTTGAAATGACTGCAGCCTTAACTGATAACTTGATCGTAGCCTACCAAGAGGCTTTGAGTCAGAACTACCCAGCTGAACTGCTCCTGATTCCCTAATCAATAGAAATTGTGACATAATAAATATGTGTTATGTTAAGCTAAGTTACAGCAACAGTAGATAACTAATACATGTTACATCCCCAATATAACACATTTAAGATTGTCCTCATCCTAACTCATCAGTTTTGTTAGTTTCATCTAAAGACAGAGGTAAATGAATACAAATCTACAAAAATAAGTATTTTGTAGGTCTAGTTCTTCATCATAAGAAAAAGTTCTACAGAGGTTTACAAAATTTGGAGACTGTGTTTGGGATAACCTGATTTATAAGTTTCTATAACATGAATAAACCTCAATTGAGGGTGGAGGTTCTCAAACATACAGGCAGTCTTTAGAGCAGCTGAAAAAGAGGTACAAGAAGCCTATAGAACTGTGGATCAGGAGATATATGTCCCATGTATTAAAATATTTGAGCCAGAGAAAACCAACTCTAGTTTAAATGTGAGTTCCCTCACCCCCCAAATCAGAATTCACTAAGGAAGATGTTCTGAACTTCAGGTATTGATTGCAATGGACATGCCTTCTCTATGTAGCAAACACCAAGGTGAATAGTCTTTAATTTAGAATAGTTAGCAATTTTCCCAAGAAATGGTAGGGAAATCATCTGATATATAGGATGGTTCCAATTCGGTAAACATTTATAATGTGTACTTGTCAAGCACAGAGGTTGTTAATATGAGTGAATAAAGATTAAGTTCCTGATATAGAAGAATTTATAGTTTAAAAGAGAAGTGAGACTTGTATGTTTTAAAATTAAGATTATAAAACTTGTATTATTTTCCTATTATTGGTAACAAATTACCACAAATTTAGTGACTTAAAACATCACAAATTTATTATATTACACTGGTGTTCAGAAGTCCAAAATGGGTCTCACTGAGCTAAAATAAGGTGTTGGCAGGGCTGCATTCCTTCTGGAGATTATAGAGGAGAATGTTTCCTTGCCTTTTCTGGCTTCTAGAGACTACTTGTGTTCCTTGGCTTTTTGGCTCTTCCTCCATTTTCAAGGCTAACAGCATTGCATCTTCTGAGTATGACACTACCATGTCTTCTTATAAGGACTCTTATTATTATACTGAGTGCAGTGGGATAACCCAGGATAATCTTTCCCATATCAAGATCCTTAACTTAATCACATTGGCAAAATGTGGTAAAGACTGAAAACCTAACAAAGGATCATGGTTGTGTGGCTGAATAAATTGATATTAAGAAAATGAAAAAGCAAATTCAAGACTGGGAAAAAATACGAGACATGCATCTGATAAAAGGCTTGTGTCCAAAATAGTTAAAGAACTCTGACAACTCAATAACAAGAAGAGAATTTGATTTTTTAAATGGGAAAAATATTTGAATAGATACTTTATCAAAGAAGATATTTGAATGATGAATAATACAAAATAAAATAACAGTGAAGTATTATTACACCACTACTCAAATTGCTAAAATTAAGAAGACAATTCCATGTTTCAGCAAGAATGGAGTACAACTGGAACTCTAAGTTCAGTTTTTATAAAGTTAATACACCCTTACCATACAACCCAGCATCCAACACTTAGGTGTTTACTCAAGAGAAATGAAACTATGTATACACAAAGATTGTACATGAATATTCATAGCAGCTTTATTGTTAATAGCCAAAAACTAGAAACAGTTTTGTTATTATATTGTGATATAATCATATACATAAAATGGACTTAGAAATAAAACAGAATGAACTGATAAATGGAACAACATGAACCGATCACAGAAGCATTATGCTAAGTGAAAGAAGCTAGACAAAAAGACAATATATTGTGTAATTCCATTATATGAAATTCTGGAAAAGGCAAAACTATAGTGACGAAAAGCCTATTAGTGGTAACTAGAGTTAGGGGAAGGTAATTATCTACAAAGGGGAAGAAGTAACTTTTGGGAATGATGGTGATGTTCTACATCTCAATTGTAGTGGTGGTTATGGCTGTATTTTTCAAAATTCATGTATACTGTACAGTTAAAATGGGTAAATTGCATTGTATATAAATCATACCTAAACTAAATTAAAACACCTGTGTGCACACACAAACACAAATTCAATTTAGTAGTTTGCTAATCTTAAATCAATTGCACACGAAGCAATTCAGTTTGTTTTTTAACTTCCAAGATAATATATGAATAAATCTGAGCTCTTTTGGAATAGGTTTATGTATGCTAGTACTATGAAATTCAAAGGAAAATCTCCTCTGCCTGGGATTACTGGAAGAAGACAGAATTTTTGAGCTTCCTCTTAATGACATCAGAGGATTGGAATTAGATTAGAAGCGGGGACGGGTGACTGACCTAAGTGTCACAGGAAAGTAAGTCCCAACTCTGGGAGTCACTTCAAGTCCTACTAGGGTCCTTGGCTTCAGGCAAGAAAGAATTCAGGAGTGAGCCAACAGTGTAAAGTAAAAGTGAGTTTTATCTAGGAAGTATAGAAAATATACTCCACAGACAGAATAGAAGCTAATTCTCCCTTTGGAGGAGAACATCCTCCATGGTTCTTTTAGTCCCACTATTTAAGCAATGGCTTAACTATAGGCTAAACGAGGGGAAGAATATTCATATTATTTCTTAGAAAGGGGCAGTGTTTTCCTAGAATTAGGGTGACCCCCCTTTTGACTAAATATGATCAATCCGGAACTATCATGGCTATCTACAGCAAGTAAATTCGATTGAAGGATGGGGCAGGGGGTAAACAAGAATCTGCATTACTAACCAGCTCACTGATTGGTTGGTAATCTCAAAAAAATTTGAGAAACCCTGCTTTAAGATTTAGCAGATATTTTTGCTGTGTGCTGATTCTAGTATTTAGAGATCTTGGAAACCGAAGTTAGCCTCAGAGAGGTTATCTGTAATTTTGTCTTTGTCTATTAAAAAATGTTTTATCTTTACCATGTTTATTATGTATCTATAATTTTCAATGCTTGTATTTCATAAATAAGAGTTAAAAAAAAAAGCCAGTGTTCTTTATTAGTCCTCTCTAGAATTTATATTGTTGACTGCTCAAAGTGGCCTCTACTTGTAACAATATTTTTCAGGTTCCTTTTCTTTGCCATTTCCCTTAGCTTAAGGTACCTAAGATGTGTTACCTTGTGTTTACCATTGTTGTACAATATGGGATAAATAAAGGTGTATGTTTATTATTAAATGTAAGTGAATTATCAAATTAAAGAACAGGTTATTAGCAAATAAAAGAACAGGTTTTCATAAATTGTATTTATAAACAGACTTGTTGACTTAACATGAGGTTACGTCCCAGTAAACCCATTAAATAGAAAATAGCGTACGTCAAAATGCATTTCATACACCTAACATGCTGAACATCATAGCTTACCCTAGCTCAGAACACATACGTTAGCCTACAGTTGGGAAAAATCATGTAACACAAAGCCTATTTTATAATAAAGTATTGAATATGTCATGAAATTTATTGAGTACTGTACTAAAAGTGAAAAACAGAATGGTTGTATGAGTATTCAAAGTACAGTTTCTACTGAATGCATACTGCTTTCATACCATCATAAAGCAGAAACATCTTAAGTTGAACCATCTTAAATTGGGGACCATCTGATAATGGGTCATAATTCTCTTCTCTGAACCTCTTTTTTAGTCTCTTAATAAGCATATTAACCCTAAATCATTCTTTGTAGTATTTAGCTGCCTACTTATTATTTAAAGCCCAACACTTAATCTTACATGATTATATATGTATTTTCAACAGTGATTCTTTTCTTGCACACCGAGAAAGTATGCGACACATGATGAGAAGTTTTTCTGAACCTTTTGGAAGAGACTTGCTCAGTATCTCTGATGGTAGAGGGAGAGCTCGTAATCATACAAGACATAATGATGAAGATTCCTTGACTGTAAGTTCATTTTTAAAAAGACAATTAGTGAGAAGGTCCTGTAGGAATTTGAAGAAAATAATTACAGATGTATATATTTATGATGATAGGATATCACTATACTTGTATTATAGATATGAGTATTATATAAAAGGGAGGACCTATTGGAAAGCTGAATCCTTGAACAATGAATTGTTAGCCATATAGAATTCCACTGTGTGCTACCAAAACATGAAGAACCATATTATAAGCCAAACTTAAACCATTATTTTTCATATACATACACACACACACACACACACACACACACACGTATCACCTTATAACTTCTTCCTTGTCTTAAATTAGGTTAGGCAAGGAAATAACCACCCTGTCCCATACGCTTTTTTTAATACTTTAAAATAGTATCAGAAGCTACAGTTTAATGGATTATGTTTATTGAACCAGGAAACACTAATCTTTTGCATGGTTACCTTGGATCTTCAAGACTGAGATTAAATGGTCTATTCATAGTTTTTATGGAAGAAACAAGAAGTGACAATTTTATTCCCTTTCTTGTAAGCATAGAAAGGAAACCTGTTTATAGTTCAGCTGAAAATTTCTTATTGAAGATGTCTATACACATCAGCTATAACTCTGTTGATCATCCATTGGAAGCAGAAATAAATGTTTCTTGTATTTAAAACATTTATATTTAAAACACTGAATGTTTAACAAGAGAAGGAATAGGAGATATATACTAAAAAGGTAAATTTCTGTGAAACTGTAGTTTGTAAGATTCATAATTTAGAACTGTTTGCACTTTAGCGTGCTTCATATTATATTTGTCTTGCCAAAGTGCCTTTAAAATAAGTGTTAGGGGAAAAGAAGAAAATATACAGCTCAAGTAATGGTTGCATAAATGTGATGATTAAATAAGAAAAGCCAAGTAGGAAAACAATTCCAAATATAAAGGAAGGCCAAGACCAACATTTGAATGAAAAACTAAAATAATTGCAACCATGTTATCATAGTCAGGCTGCTATAACAAAATACCTTGGATTGAGTAGCCTATAAACAAAAGAAATTTATTTATCACGGTTCTGGAGGCTAGGAAATCTAAGATTAATGTGCTGGCAGATTCACTGTCTGGCGAAGTCTTGCTTTCTGCTTCATAGAGGATATCTTCTTGCTGTATCCTTACATGATGAAAAGGGCAAATAAGCTCCCTCGGGCTTTATTTATAAACCATTAATCTCATGCATGAGGGCTGAACCCTCATGACCTAATTACCTCCTAAAAGCCCCACCTATTAATACTACAGATACTCCTGAATTTATGATGTGGTTATCTTTCCTCAAAAATGCATTTAATACACTTAACCTACCAAACATCATAGCTTAGTCTACCCTACCTTAAACATGCTTAGAACACATACATTAGCCTATAATTGGGCAAAATCATCTAACACAAATCTTATTTTATAATAAAGTGATGAATATCTCATGTAATATATTGAATACTGTACTAAAAGTGAAAAACAAAATGGTTGTATGAGTACTAAAAGTGTGGTTTCTATTAAATGTGTATCACTTTCATACTATCGTAAAGTCAAAAAAAAGTTAGGGCCTGTTTATGTAACATTTTATTATATTACTGTTTATTTTACATTTGGGATTAGGCTTCAACATATGAATGTGGGGGGATGGACACTTGTATTTAGATGATAGTGCTTGTCTAATTTATAGTGGCAGAAATTAGCTTTTGTCTATGATTATTAATCATTTATTAGCATAGTCTGAAATCTATAGCTAGCATCCAATAAAACTTTCTAGAAAGTGGAAATGTTATGAATGTGCACTGCCCACTAGCCACTAGCCACGTGTCTACTGAGCACTTGAAAGGTGCCTAGTGCTACTAAAACTAAATTTTAAATTTTATTTAATTTTAATTATTTTAAATTTAATTTTAAATGCCACACGTGGCTAGTGACTACTTATATGTACAGCATGATGATAGACATTCAAATACATTCCAAATCAGTTAGCTTTTTCTTAAACAATGGTAAATAAAGAGCGCTAATAATCATGTGGGAACCTATCATCTTATTTCTCATTTCTTAATCATCTCTTTAAACATTTTTTCCAAGAAAAACTGCAGTATTCATCTATCTATTAAAAGTAAGTGGTAACAAAAGTAAATGGTAATTTAGACCAATGCATTTCATAAAACATAAGCCTCATGGCTTTTTAAATGGTAATGTTGCTTGATAATATTTACTTGCATCTAAAATCAAGTAGTATACACTTTTCTTTATTACATTGTATCAATTATCTTAGAAAGCTAATACCAATACATTTTTTGTTGTTGTTCAAACTATGAAAATCTTTTGCTAACCAAGAGCACTGAGCATTGTTCTAGGGCAGTTGAAGGGAAGTAGTAATTTTTAAAAAACAGAAATTTCAGTCTATTGCACCGGGTTTTCAAAGGAACATTCAGCCTTTTAGCCAAAACTCATTTTTTACCTGTATATTTGTAATTCATACTGGGGAGATAAGGCTCTCCTTTTTCCAAGGGTGTGATATATTTGACAAGTATGTTTCTAAATATTAAGGACTTATATAATAGGAAAAATAAACTAAATTAAAAAAACAAAACAAAAAAGCAACAACAATGAAAACGTGTATCCCAGCTTGACTTTTCTAACAGTGTTTTATAACAAGAAGTGAATTTGGAGACAAAAATTAGAAATTGATTGCAGAAAATGGAAAAGTCTGCTTGCTGCTAAGTTTGAAAAAAGCAGAATCAAGAAGATCATGGGTTTTTGAGCATAACTCAGTTTATCTGAACTTTTAATAAAAATTCATATAAAATTTTATTTTACAAAGTAATATTTTAAAATGAGTGTTTTAATTAAGCAGTGAACTATTATGCTTATGTTTTTAAGCATAATAGGTGAAAATTCATATTTCATATAGATAACTTGGTAGTTTTTTATTTTTGGTCAATTTCTGGACAGTTGTCATCTTTATCAGCTGTCATCTATAATATGACAGTTGTCATATTATAAGGGAAAACAGAGACTTATACTAGAAGTAGAAACATCAACTGTGCCATTTTCTTGTGTGTATATTATTAGCATTTTTAGTCCATGATTTCTTTATAGGGATATTTTTAATAGAAGCTAGTTGTTCATTTTGTAAGGATTAGTTTTGTTTAGAATTAGATTATTTATAAATTTATTTAACTAGGTACTTTTTAACTCAAGCTATGACATTTAGACTGAGTGATGGTGCCAGAATCAATCTAAAATATGTTTTTTCTTTAAGTAAAAAGAAATAGAAATAGAAACTCTATTGGTGCATCTAAAACACTTTGGAAACTACTAGATGTACATTATAAATATGTATAATCTGATATCATTTATTATAAAATTTAATAGCACACAGTTTTCTATATTTTTCAACATAATATACACAGAGGAAATACTGTATCACTGAACTTTATACTGATAAATTATTATATTATGTATATCGTGTATAATACATTATCTATTATGATAAAACTTTATCACTGAATGATAAAACTTTATACCTTTTACTCAGAAATTCAAAATTTATCTTAACATTTAACACTTCCAAGTAGTGAAAATATTTAGTTTGTATATAATTAAAAATTTTTCTTCATCTGTACCTGTTGAAGAATACAATTTGCGAACTACTAATTTTGATTTCATCTATTATACTTAACATTGTTTTGCCTATCAAAGACACTAAATATTTTTAAATCTATGTGATCATTTCTGAAGTCTATATTAATTTCTTATTACATAAACTGGTCCTTAGGAGGTGTTAAATTTTTTTCCCAATACCTCTACTGATCTTTTGGAACTTTATTAATGTATACAAAATTTTTATTTTTAATCAATTACAGTAAAATTAACTGTTCTTTAAAAAATATGGAATTGATCAGTCTCAGTGGCTCACACTTATAATCCCAGCACTTTCAGAGGCCAAGGCAGGAGGATCACCTGTGGCCAGGAGTTTGGGACCACCCTCAGCAACGTAGTGAGATCCTGTCTCTACAAAAAATATAAAAATTAACTGGGCATGGTGGCATGCTCCTGTAGTTCTAGCTATTCAGGAGACTGAGACCAGAGGATCACTTGAGCCCAGGAGTTCAAGCATGTAGTTAGTGAGCTGTCATTGCACCACCGCGCTCCAGCCTGGGCAACAGAACAAGACCTCGTCTCTTAAAAAAAAATTATATAAAAGGAATAGTCGAACAAAGGAAAGATGATTTAATCGTTGTAACTTATGTTTTAATTAATTTTGGCATGGATTTGCATTTCCTTGAGAAATGTTTATTTTACTCCCTAGCAAATATTTTTTCTTTGAACTACTTTTAATAAATACTAGAGTAGTCATATTTTCAAGTGATACATGGCCTCCCTACTTGCTGCCAGGCTTTTATCAGGCTCTACAGTGAATAATAATCATATAACTTAAAATATATGTTGAATTCTTTTTGATTAAAAGGTTTTGTAATTTTGGTAGCTCTGAGCTATGTGGTTATGCAATGCATTTTTTTCTTTTTCAGGGATTAGTATATAATAAATATTAAAATTAATTGGATATTATTTTTCTAGGCAACGAGTTGTTCTCTTGTGCCTTTTGGCAGTTTTGGTGGTATGGTTCGTATCATGAGATACAAACAATTTTTGCAATATTTTCTAACAAATATTTATTTTCATTAACTCAGGCAGACTGAATTGGCATCCAGTCTCACTAACTTTCATAATGGCTTTTTAGTATTTGTACTGAAAACCTGTTTTATGTATTAAGTTTATCACAGAATGTTTTAGCACATGTTTACCAAAGCAAATCATGTCAACATATATAAAATCATTATTGAAAAATAAAAAGTAGATTTTAATAGATGAATATTTTCTTGATTTACAAAAGGGGTCATCATAGTTGTGTTTGAAAGTTGGAGACTTCCACATGCTTATGATGACTTTCTTAAAGGTAAAACATTACAAAACTATAGGTAGATAAGCACAACATTTGGGAAAGCTCAGCTTGGCGGGCTTTCTCTTTGTTGCCAGTTTGTCCATGTTGCTTTTCCTTGTTCATACACTTGAATGCCTACTTTACAACCAGCATTTCTCCCACCCCTTTTTCTTTGGGCTTTGATGCTGTGTCTGTGATGCTAGTTTCTAACACACTAAAAGCATTCTGAGAAGTAGCAGAGAATACTATGAATCTGGAACATTTGTATTTACATTCTCATGAAAAGATTTTTTTTAATTCTTTATTGCTACATTTGAACCAGTTAATTGCCCTGAATTTTGTCATATAGGTATAATATTTATCTCTACTGACCAGAGTTTTTAGTGGTACAAATGACCAGAAAAAGAAAAAAGCAATTATAACAGAGTTGTCAGCAAAATGATCAGAAAGTTCCACATGCTGTGGGAGCAAAGATAGAAATAAGCACTTAATCCAGACCTTTTGAGCTGTGGTGGGGTGGGGGTGAATCAGAGAAGACTTCATGAACCTTAAGAATTAGTAGGAGTTAGCCAGAAAAATCAGGGAGAGGAAAGGAAGAGTATTCAGCACAGAGGAAACAGCATGTGCAATGACCTGGCAGTTAGGGAGCTAAAAGATGTTTAGGATGTTTAGAATATGAATTGAACAGTAAATATAGATGAGGATAAGGTGGTAACGAGAGACTTTTAGGCCTTAGAGCAGGGGAAGAGCAGGGGAAGCAGTTGATGGACTTTCATCAAAATGGTAATGAGTCAGATTCTCATTTTTAAAAGATCATTATTGCCTGCAGGAGACAGAAAGATTAGAAGGGACCAGCATGGAGGCAGGGAGGCCAGAAGGCTGTTGAAGCATTCCAAGTAAAGTATTAGTGATGGCATCTACTTGGTAATGGCTGTGGTAATAAAGAAATTATTTCATTTGTGAAAGAGTTAAAGAGATGAATGGATAGAACTTGGTGATTGATGTGGTTGAAGGAGCAGTAGAGAAGGAGAAGGGAAGTATCCCACCCATTTTTCTGGCCTGAGGAATTAGGTAGATGGAAATGCCACTGAGCTAAGGCATTGAGTCAGTACAGATACAGGAGTGGGAGTGGTCAAAACTATCATTTTGAGTGTTTTGCATTTGATCCATCTCTGGGTTGTACAGGTAGATTTGTCTTGTAAACAGTTTGTATATATGAATTTGAGCTGAGCTAAAGATAATTTGTACATTCATTCAGCAAATAAAGTACTCCTAGGTGCCAGGAATTATTTTCTAAGTATTGAGGATATAGTAGTAAATAAGACAGAGAAGATAGCCCTGTCCCTACAGACATTATTTTTATAAAGTGGGAAGACAGACAATAAACAACAAAATAATTTCACATAGTCGTAGTACTCTGAAGAAGATGAAGCAGGGTAATGATATAGAGGCAGGTGGGAAGCAGAGATTACACAGATGACCAGCAACAGCTTTTTTTCAGGAGGTGACTCCTGAATGATGAGAAGGAACTTACTATGCTAAAAGTCAGGAGGAAACATTGAAGGCAGAGAGAAGAGCATGTGTACAAAATTCCTGAAGTCCTTAGAGGCCTACTGGAGTGTCTCAACTCCAATTTGTACCCCTACTTTTTCTCACTTCAGGGTGTTGGGTCACCCCAGAACAAGTACAGTTATATCTTTTGATGGTTGATTTGACAGTGATTTGAGAAAAGGGCAGAATATACTCAAATGTCTAATCTTTTCCTCCCTCTCCTTTTCCCCTTTGGGCTAACCTTTCCATCTCTCATGAATTATGTCTGATGTAGGCCCTGATTCTCAGCTGAGTGTTGAAACAAAATATTCAGAATATTTTCAGGACTGTTTTTGAATCTCTGAAATGTAGGTTAATTATACTTCAGTCCTTTTTGTACCCAAAGATATATTGGTATGTCTTAAATGTGCCTTTGCTATTCCCTACAATATTAAGTACAGATTCTAAAGTGGAATTTGGTTTTCCTTTCCCATCTATTTCCCATTATTACTATCAGTAAAAACCCACTAGAAGGCAGAGACACAAGCAAGCCTTTGATAATTCCTTATTTAGACCCAGCTTGGCACATGGTAGAGCAATCTCCAGAAGGACCGAAATACCAACACTAAACCACAGTGCCTTGGGATTCAGAACTCCTCTTCTGAGCAGAGGAGTTTCTTGAATCAACCAACTCCCTTTGTTTTATAATAGTTGGCAACTCATTAGGTGACATACTAGAATATGTGCTTTACTTTTATTTTCTGGTGAGTGTTCCAGTGATAAAACCTAAAATCAATAGCATATTTTTCTAGACCAAGGTTTCTCAATCTCAGCACTACTCACATTTTGGGCAAGATAATTCTTTGTTTTGGGGGTTGTCCTATGCATTGTAGGATGTTTAGTAGTATCCCGGGCCTCTACCCACTACATGCTAATTGTACACCCTCTTCATTTGTGACAACCCAAAATTACATTTTTGCCAAATGTCCCCTGAGGATCAGAAACAATCTTGTCTGAGAAATCATTGTTCTAGAGGAATTCTTAACTGTTCTTCTGAAGAAGCATACCTCATGTTTAAGGGTATGGCCTACTGATCCTTCAGTAGGCAGCAAATTGAAGGCATATTTGTAAAGTGGATTGACCTCTATCACCTGGACCCTACTGAGGAGAGGAGGTTTGGCCTTCTGAGGGGCAACTTCTATCAACCATGTGGTATCAGTGGAGGCGACACTGGCATCTTGTTCCCAAGTTTTATTTGCATGGGGGTGTATTGAGATGCAAGAAGGAAAAATTTGAAGACTATCCTATGCTAGAGCTGTTCCAGTCTAGAATATATCACTCAGTATTTAATATTAACCAAATTATGTTTTGAAAAAGCTGATGAATAATATATATGTAATTATACGTACTTGCATGTATATGTATATATATACACCTGTGTATATATGTATTTGTAGTGTTACAATTCCCTAATCATTTCTATGTTGGCTGTTTGGGATTTTACATATGCTTCAATTTTCTCTTTAACAAATCACTTTCATTGTATGGTCCTTAAATTATCTTTGCCTGGTTGATTACTACATGAGATCTTACTAAATGAATTGAAACAAAAATTTCAGCTGTGTTGGGAAGATTTATTTGCTTATTTTATGTTATACTTGTAGTTAATAACATACTTCCTAATATCCTGTAGCGTACAGATGTCAACCCTTTTCAGGCAATGGACCGAATGATGTTAAATATGAGAAACAGTATGCAGGAATTACAAAGAAATTTTGTAAGTACTAAAAATAAAGTGTTGAGAACATTGTTTTCCGTTATTGGTATACTCTACGTTATAGTGGCTTTCAAACATTTTTTAAACTACAGTTCACAGTGGTTATTAAATATATCTTACATGATTAACCCAATAAGCAATACTTGCATACTTTTTAAATATACCTGAAACAAAAGTTTTGTTAAAAAATGACCATAGTATTTACAGCGTGTGCTGATATAGTCTATTTTATTTCATGTTTTAAAAATCCTGGTTACAATCCACTAACTTGATTTTATAACCTATAAGTTTGAAAAAATAACATTAGCTAACTTTCAAAATTACAAAAAATCAACCTCAAAAATATTTGTTCTACTGAAAGTCACTATTGTAAATGAGCATTTTATGTGAATTTGAATGTTTTTATTATTTATAACCTATCTGCTTAAAAGGACTTGTAGTATCTAAGGGAATTAAGTTTTTAGTGTTAAAAAAACTCTGAAAAACACATTTCAGAAATGATGTTTAGATACTGACTTAGATTCATACAGTCCAAATACAAACTAGTACTGAAGTAACATTCTTACTTTTCTACTCATAATATTAACATAAAAAAATCACTTGATTCTATCTGAAGAAGACCTATGTCATTCTTATCAACCAATTTGGAGTCTATGATCATTTCAAAATGCCCAAATCTATCTAGGACATTACTTATTTTAGTAATGTAGCAGTCTGATACAGGAGGTATGAAACTTCTTGGTGTATGTTTAATTGGCTCTACGTTGGCAATATTGCACATAAGAGTCAACCACTAACTATAGAAGTATCACAGGTTTCATGGTATAGCACCTTTATTGAAATCTAAGCTACAAGAATCCAAAGACTTATGGATCTCTGACTGAATCGCATATTAGTCTTTACAATGAGAGTGGGAATAGTACCTAGAATAGAATGATCTCAATAGAATGAAGTTAGGACCTGACCTTGCTGGAGGTGCCATTTGGATACATGATATTGGTAGTATGATATCCTCTGTAGAACTTATAGCTAGTGTTGTTACTTACATGAACTTTCTAGCCATAATTCTTTGTATATGACTAGACTCTGAATTTACAATTTCTGTTTACCTCTAGGGTCACCTTTCAATGGATCCAAATGGACATTCATTTTGTTCTTCCTCAGTTATGACTTATTCCAAAGTGGGAGATGAACCACCAAAGGTTTTCCAGGCCTCATCTCAAACCCGTAGAGCTCCAGGAGGAGTAAGTATTTTCTAAGCATTCTTAGAGCTTTATAAAGTGGTGGGAAGACATACCGTATTTATAAAATTTTAATTATTAAAATTTGATCTGGGTTGGGCACGGTGGCTCACACCTGTAGTCCCAGCTACTTGGGAGGCTGAGGCAGGAGGATTGCTTGAGCCCAGGAGTTTGAGGTTGCTGTGAGCTAGGCTGACGCCAGGCAACAGAGTGAGACTCTGTCTCAAAAAAAAAATTTTTTTTTTGATCTGGTACAGGGTGGGTGGTAGGAGGGAGGAGAGGGAGTCATGGGTTTGGGGCAGATAAGGCAGTGCTCATTGTGAAAACCATTAAAGCTCAACTCTGTTTATTTAGTTTGTGGCAATTTTCCCCCCTCCCATGAGGATGCCTTTTTTTCATGTAAATATCTATTGATTTTTATTATCTTTATATGTTGACAAGGTAAATAACCACTAAAAGAAGCCTTTGTCCACTTTTAAGTTTGTGTAAAGTAAATTAATTTTTAATTCATGAAATGTTTCAAATATACAGAAAGGATATACAGAATAATATAATTAATGTCCATATTCCTGCCACAATTTAGTCATATCATAACATTTTTCTCTGTAGGCTTCAGGTTTTCTCTTTTTTTTTTGTTTTTTTTAAGCAAAAATGCTATGGATGCAGTTAAAGTTTCCAGTGCACTCCTCCAAGGTCCCTCTTTTATTCCCTCCCTAGAGATAACATTTTCCTATATCTAGAGTGTATAATTTTTCTGCATGTTTTTATAATTTTATTACTATTAATAATATGCATTATAAAATATAATGGATTATTTTGCAGGTTTCTAAACTTTATACAAATGGTATCATATTGGATGTGTCCTCTGCAATTTGCTTTTCTCAATAATATGCTTCCGAGATTTATTCAAGTTGATATATATGGCCTAGTTTATTTAACTTATGTATAGTATCCAAAATACGAATATACCATGATTTTTTGATTTTCATATTCTATTGATAAATATGTAAGTGTGTCTAATTTTCTAACTAAATCACCCTCAAACGTGTCTCCTGGTGCAAAGGATTAGGATGGTATTGCTGGCTTGAAGGTTATGTGTGCATTCATCTTTACCTAGAATTAGCAAGTGACTATCCCATAGTGAGTGAAACTGTTCACTTCCACAAACTGTGGTATGACAGTTTCCATTTCTCTTTTCCTTGTTAGTAAATTTTTGGTTTACCAGTCTAAAATTTTTGGTTTACCAGTCTAATAAGTGTGAAGTAGTTCATTTCTTAGTTCTCACATTTGAAGATACACTTCTTAATGGTGCTTTCGCTACAATTCTGTTATGTCATCTTGGACATTTTAATTTTAACTTGCTAGAAGTGACAGAGTCTTACTTGTAAACAGAATATAATTGTAAGATTTCCCACAGCAAATCTTGTTTCTCATCCTTGGTTTCATACATATCTAATGATACTTCCATGGAGTTATATTTGAACCTATTAGATTCTAGCCCGCAGCATGACTGATGAATAATTAGTTGCCCTTATTTGTAAGCAGTCCATTTTATATAATTTTTATTCTTTGTTTTAATATTTGATTACAATTTGGAAAAAGGTTAGATTGTATTAGTTCTATTTGCCTAGAAATTCATTTTAGACAGCTCAGGAATATTAAAGACTTACTACCATAATTTTATTGCAAGTTGATAGAATTGAGTACAATTATTTTTAGCAAGTAATCTCTAAGTCTTTACCTCAATAGGTAAATAGGCCCTGAGGAATTTAGAATTATATCCATTCTATGTTATTAAATAATAACTATTTTATTTTCTTTATTTCATAGATAAAGGAAACCAGGAAAGCAATGAGAGATTCTGACAGTGGCTAGAAAAAATGGCTGTTGGTCATCATATCCATGACCGAGCTCATGTCATTAAAAAGTCAAAGAACAACAAGACTGGAGATGAAGAGGTCAATCAGGAGTTTGTCAATATGAATGAAAGTAAGTTATCACAAAATAGTGTTCTTTCTCATAATAAGCTATACTTACAGAACTTGATTAATATTTTTTGTAGAAACATGTCATAAGATGTAGTTTCTGAATAATATGTGTGGGAATATCTTGTAAAGAAATAAATTGTGGTTCATTATTTCATAGTAGATCTGTCTTTATAGTGATTTTGGCATTGTGGAATATCATTTATTTTTATTGTTTTATACTTGGAAAATGGAATCTTTTGATTGTTATTTAGTAATGCTATCAATAGGCAAAATGAGTTTTAAAATATTTTTTCTGATTATGAAGGAAGGACATTTGAAAAGTTTGAAGACAAATAAAAATCATCCCATAATCAACCCAAATAACTACTATTAGTCTTTTAGGGTATTTCTTCTTAAAGTTTTGTGTATATATTATTAACAACATACATATTTCTTTAAAATTAATATTTTGCTATCTATGTAGTTTATATGTGTTTATTTTAATTCACCATTATAATTTTAAACAGTCACCTAATATGTATTTTTTCAAAACATTCTAAGCTGTTACCTAAATTTTTATTGTGACCTGGGTAATTAAAGAGACAAAAGGCAGGGATAGGTGGGTTCCATTGACTGCCTGCCTGCTTCTGGTCAGTCTTTGCTCTCTGTGTCCAGAGTGCGGAGCCCGCCTGGGCAGAGCTTAGCCTCGTGGGAGATTCCCTTTAGTGGCTATAAGGCAGAGAGACTTTACATCCACCACGCTCCAGTGTCTTGTGGCTGAGCCTTTGCTCGTTTCTGTCCCACCTTGGGGCAGAGCTGAGATAGGAACTGTTCCCATTCCTACCGCTTATCTCCATGTGCAATTAAAGAGACAGAAGACGGGTTCCCTGGGTTTGGCTACGGGCTTGCCGGCTTCAGCCAATCTCTATCTGCACAGGTCTTCTGCGCTCGGTGTCCAGGTCCTGGAGTTTGCCTGGCAGGGCCGAGCCTTGTAGGAAGCAGCCTTTGGTGAATACAAGACAGAGAGACATTACAACCCACAACTCTGGTGACTTGGAGCTGGCCTTCGGTTCCAAAGTCTCTAGCCCCGTCTTGGGGGTGGAGCTGAGATAGGAACTGCTCCAGTTCCTGCCACCTATTTCCACCTGTGTAATTAAGAGACAGAAGATGGGAGGCCACCGGTGTAGCCCGGAGACCAGCAGGAAGGGTAGGGTAATTGGCTGTTTCCCTTCCCCTACATCTCGGACTGCTGGCTCCCAGCGGTTGAGAGACCTGCAGACACCACCCCAGCGAAGGCTGCTGACAGAGAGCAACTCCACCTACTGGCTCAGAAACTAAACAAGACGTGTGAATACCCAAACGAAAACCTAAAGGAAAGAAACAACAACTGAGCAAATGGGAAGAAATAAGCAGGAACTCCGGAAATATGAAGAAACAAACGGAAAACACACCCCCAAAGAGAGCACCAGCCCTTAGAAACAGACAACAACCAAAACCTGGCAACTAAATGACAGAAGAGGAATTTGAATGTGGATCATAAGACACTCACTGACCTGCAACAACAACTCAATAACTAACAAAAGAAACCACAAAAAGCCTCCAGGAAAGGAACAAAGGTTCACTAAAGAGATTGACACAGTGAAGAAAACTTTAACCGAAGTCCTGGAGATGAAGAATCACTCAGGGAATTACAAAATACAGTGGAAAGTCTCAAGAAGGGGTAGATCAAGCAGAAGAAAGAATCTCAGAGATTGAAGATAACACACACCTTCCAATTAAATAAATCAGTCACAGAAATACAACAGAAACAAGAAAAGACCAAAGCCTACAAGAGCTGTGGGATTATGTGAAAAAACTAACGTGAGGGTCATAGGTTAGCAGAAGGGGAGAAGACAACACTCAAGGGCTGGACAAGCTTTTTGAAGATATAATAGAGGAAAATTCCCAGGCCTTGCTCAAATCTCGATATACAAATTCAAGAAGCCCAGAGGACCCCAGGGAGATTCAATGCAAACAGGAAAACGTCACGTCATGCAGTCATCAGACTGACCAATATCAACTAAAGAGGCCTTCTAAGAGCTGTAAGAAGAAAGAAGCAAGTAACCTACAAGGGAAAGCCAATACAAATAACAACAGACTTCTCTAATGAGACCTTACAGCAAGAGAGACTGGGCCCATTCTCACTCTTCTGAAACAAAACAATGCCAGCCTAGAATCCTATTCCTGCAAAACTAAGCATCTCT